AGAGAGTGATAGTAGAGGTAATGAATGATGTAGAAAAAGTAGGAGACAAAGTGAAAAAGTAGGAATGAAAAGATACAAAGTAGAAAAAGTAAGTGTAATTGCGTATTTTACTTGGATTTTTTCCGATTTCAGACCAGACCAGAGCAAACTTCCATAGTTATAACTTATAAAATACACAGAGACCAGACATTTACCAGACCAGAGAAGTTCAGATCAAACTTAAACAGACCAGAACAGAACATCAAACAGGCCAAATAAAAACGGTTCATTAGTTCATTGAATCCCATCCTACCATAATAAATTAATACGGAGTAAGATCATGACAACAATATTATATACTACGTATTTACATAATACAGAGTAATTAATATTAGACATTAAACAATACGTGAATAAGTCTTTAGTGCAAGGCCTGGAATCATAACTTCATATTCAGTCATGTTTTTTAATAGGGGCGGAAGTCTATAGGGGCAACCATAATTTTTAATTGGGGGCAAATAGCTAATCTTTATATTATTTGTCACAAAATACATAAGTTTAGTGGGAGTTTGTTGGGAGCAGCGACCCCCACTCCTCTCTTACTGCATCCACCCCTGCTAGTATTCGTTAGCTCTAATATTTTTCTCTCTTTAATACGATAGTATTGTGTCAAATCCTATGGTAGCATGCATTGTAATACACCGATACGTATGGAGTGATTGATACTTCCTCCGTCCCGAAAAAGTTGACCGAATTTTCTTTTTGGATGTCCCAAAAAGATTTGTCATTTCCATTTAAAGTAAGAAATATGTGGCTAAAGTTAATTCTCTCTCATCTGCACAAATTTCAACCACACGGTTTTTACTTTATTAAAATATTAATCCACGTGAAAGTCAACTTTGGCCAACCTTTTCAGGACGGAGGGAGTATGTAAAATATTATATAAAATGAAATTGTATTCATCTAGAAAAAACTGGCTTCGCAAGAATGAATATTACTGCTTTAGTTAGGGAGTGTTTGCAACAGTTTCTGCTTAAAAAAACACTTTTGAGGTGGGTTGGAAAAAGTGATTAATTGTAAAAGTTGATAGTATTTGAGCAAAAAGTGATTTTTAAAAGTAAAAGTTGGTAGTGTTTGGTAAAATAAGTGCTTTTGGTGTATAAAAAGGGGGGAAATACTTTTGACACGAAACCCGGGAAAAGTAAAAAATGGTAATGTTTGGTAAATAAGTGTTATTTAAAGTCAAAAGCTGAGAAGTGCTTTTTTTAAAGCTGTTGCAAACCAGCCCTTATTACTACTTCCATCACATTCTAACTTTCAACTTTCCTTTTTGAGACTTCTAATTTAAAGGTTCATGTTTCAATTTTACAAAAAACAATTCATATTCTTAAATGACAATTTAATCATCAATTATACAAAAACAATGCATCATGTAATGATGACAGTGTCATTAATTAGCTCATTATATTATATAATCATCCATTTCCCCCCTCAAAATATACTCCAATTACCATTTTAATTATTATCTAAACCTTGTGTTAATATCTATATAATATAATAAAGCAAACCCTTAAAGAACCCTTTAGAGGAATTGTTGACATGTGGCAACATCCTTTGCATAAAAACATGACATGTGGCACACACAATAATTAAAGAAAAAGCTATTCAACTTCCGAAACTCTACTCTCATATATCCCAATATTATAGATATGTATTTATATTAATACATGTTTATATATTTGTTATAATGTTCAATATAAAATTAGGTAGAATTTTGCACTCGCCGATATTACAAAATCCAAATACTAATAAATAAAAATAATTAATAATTTTTAGTCACTCTTAAAATAAAAATATTACTCTCTATTTCTTTTCTCATAAACTCTTTGAGATTCTCCCTTATTCGGGGTTTAATTTTTATAAATTGTTTCTTATTTGTTTCCAAATTATGATGATTATTATTACATCCTATGTTTCATTAATTTTCTCTGACATTTCCTTTTTCTTTCATTCACTAAGTTTGTGTAGCTTTAGATATTATAATGCATATGTAGTTATAAATCATTCTTACATTATTTGCCCTACTTTTTCATTTCAACATTAGCTAGATATACTCTTTTTTAATAGTTGCACATGCATAGGGGTGCAAACGAGTCGAGCCGAGCCCGACTTTATGTAGGCTCGATATCGGGCTCGAATATATTGTATTGGCTCGAGCTCGAGCTCAGCTCGAATGAGCTTAAAAAATCCGGGTTCGAGCTCGACTTGCAGACATTAATGTGAGCTCGATAAGGCTCGATAGGCTCGATAATTTTGGTTCATTGAAAAGTTACAAGTTCAATTAGCTCGAAAGTTCGGGTTCGAACTCGAGCTCAAGTACGAAACAATCTTTAAATATGTGTGCTTCACATTTACAAATTGCAATTTACATGCCCAACGACAAAATTTTATGGGAGAATAAACAAAATATAATCTTAACTCAAGTCTCCATCCAGTTGTACTTCTAATATAAATCAAAGTGGTCAAACCATGAAGAAATAGTGGATGAAATTTTGATTATTTTAGTTAAATTACTTTATAATTAATAATATCTCACCAGTCCTTATATACATTTATGAATCGGTATTATATATATATATATATTGATTTATACTATATATTATATATACTAATATATATTATATATTAATTTGTATTGCATATTAATTTATTATATATTAATATAAATATACACATATATAAAACTAGGCTCGCGAGCTAATGAGCCTAAACTTAGTAGGCTCGCTTATGGCTCGACTGCTTAACGAGCCGGCTCGAGCTCGAGTTTGACCATCTCGATTCGAGCTTTGACCGGGCTCACTCACGAGCATCTCACGAGCGGCTCGGCTCATTTGCACCCCTACACATGCATCAATCATAATGGGACAAATGTGATATTACTTATCTATTTATTAATTCACAAGGTCTGGCAAACCAATGCCTAAAGTTAGATTCATATATTTGTTTTTGTCTCATGTTTATTTATACTTAACAATTTATGTTCACATTGTCGGGTTAACACTCCCCAATTTCATAGCTTCGATAGTCTAACTGTCTAATGATCTCAAACGATGCACATTATTTTTAATCGATGTGCACAATACACTTATAGTTAAAATAATCCAGACTTTAAATGGACAGGAAAGGTTGAATTTATTTACAAAAATGTCACAACAATTTTTATTCATGATAGCGCATATTTCTATTTCAAATAATGCACAATTTTCAAATCTAACATTCGAGTTCATTCTAATTCTCTTTTGGGAAAATGGAAACTAATAATCCAACCTTTTAGCGGTCTTCTTTTAATAGTCCGACCTTTTCGTTATTCATGAATAATCCAACCTTTGCACATCATCTTCATTCATTGGTCCCCGACCGGTTGATGACCTGCTATTCCGAGTTATTTTCTTATCTCTGCAAACTATTATACCATAAATTCCACCTTTCACAAAGATAATATTTTGCAAAGATAAGAAAATAACTTGGAATAGCAGGTCATCAACCGGTCAGGGACCAGTGAATGAAGATGGGGTGCAAAGGTTGGATTATTCATGAATAACGAAAAGGTGGGACTATTAAAAGAAGACTGCTAAAAGGTTGGATTATTAGTTTCCATTTTCCCTTCTCTTTTTACACGTTAAGGTGTCTTCTCATCTGAACTCAACCTTATATATACAATTTACAATTTTCATATCTAACGCTCCGGTTCATATATAGAAAATAGAAATAATGGTAGAGTAGTTTATTTGAATAATTATTATATATAGAAACAATAGTTCAACAAGGGTTGTGAATTAATAAGTATATTTGAAAATTATTTTGGTAGTAAAGTATTAATATTGAAGATAATGAAAGTAAAAACTAGATGTTTATATTTTGGTTTAGTCGCAACCTGATGGGTCAACTCACTTAACCTGCAACCCGTCCAAATTGCACTATAAAACCAGTGAGTTAATCGGATTGAATAATGACAACTCTAAACTCTAATTCACTGTGAAATGAAATGAATTGAGCTAGCCATATGAACTTTGACTCATTTTGATAGCTCTGTCCATAGTCGATTAAATTTTCTTTTAAACACATTGACGAACTCACATACAACTCATTTTCTTTACAATTTTAATAAAAGTCTTAAGCATACATTTTCCCGTGCAGTGCACGGGTACATATACTAGTTATTTTATATACGTAAACCTCTATCGAATGTCCCACGATTTCAATTTTTGATTAGTTTGACAAAACTTCTGGGTCAACTGTGACCTATGAGAACCCGACCTTTCACACTATATCAAACACTTGCTTAGAAAGAACCTAAAAATATATAAATAAATAAAAAAGAAGGGGGTGATGGTATACTTGCCGAGAAAGTACCTAAAATATAAAAAAGTAATTACGAAATGATAACTACTTGATGAATCGTGTCTCCTAAAAGCGATTTAACGAAAAGTGGTTTACCAATTCACAAAACATCTAGTATTAAACGATTCTGATAGATGTGAGGATGATGGAGGAAGTATATTATCAAGATTATTATTACAGAAATTGTCCTAAATATGAGTAAAAACGTTTTGAAATTCCAAAATAGGAGTATCATGTTTTTTATTTCCTGAATAGGAGTAATCTGCCAAGTTTGGAAAAAAATGACATGTTTAAAGCTTTGTAATGTCAAACTTGGCAGAAATTTACTCCTATTTAGGGAATAAAAACATGATACTCCTATTTTAAAATTTCAAAACATTTTTACTTCTATTTAGAGAATTCTCCCTTATTATTATGTATTGAAAAATCAAATTTGTCACCACTAAAGTTTTTTTTGAAAGTACTAATAATAACCAATTAAGGTTATTAGTAAAAACAATAGGGAGTTGTAAGCAATTAATTTCTACTCTTCCACTCTCCAAAAATAAATCGACAAAACAAACGAATTGTAAGTATTTGTAACCCCACGATCTATACGAGGGAGTCCTTGTGAGTTGTGATGACAACGTAAGTGAAAAGTCTCTTTTCTTAGCCGCCTTTCTTTCGGAACTTTCGTTTCTCGACACTTTGCCACGCGTTTACGCCACGCGAGATCTCTGTATATTCCAGATCTCTCAATTTCCGGACTCCGCAATTATTATCACTTCTCTATATTTTATTGCATCTTATCCGGCTTCAGTTTCCGGGGCGATTGATTTTGACAGCCGTTTCTGATTCGTTTGTGGGGTGGGTGTTAGCTTGTCGGCCGAGAGTTTTCATCCGAAGTAATTAAGGTTTTTCGAGGAGTTTAAGGGTCGATAGTTGACTTGATGGGCGGCAAGAGTTCCAAGGACGATAGTTGGAGGCGTACTTCTAGGTCAGCTTCATCATCATCCTGGAATTATGAGTATCCTCCCCAATCAGCCTATCCAACTCAATCGCCGGAGACCTACGATTACCCAGTTCAGCACGCGTATCCTTCTTACGCGCCTCCTCCTCCCGCGCAGCCGTATCACGCGCCTCCTCAAGATCCTAGGACTCCTAACCGCGCGCCGCCTCAGAGGAGGCTTGACCGGAGATACTCTAGGATTGCGGACAATTACCATTCATTGGAAGAGGTAAGAATGTCTCCTATCTGATCAAAAACTTGTTTTATGTTTAAGTTTTGCATTTAATTCTGCTTTATTTGTCATTAATTCATTATTCTATATTAGATATGGTATTATTAAAGCTTTACTTGTTAAAGAAAGATCAAGTATGTACTCCGTCCGTCCCTTAGAAAAGGATTATTTTTAGCAAATAAAATTTAAGTACTCATAAAGTACGATAAAAGCTAGAAATTCAAATTTGGTAAAAGTTGGATATTTAAAGTAGAAGATGAAAAACTATTTAATTACTTCTTCTAGGGACGGAGGTAGTATTGCATTCTTTCATGGTTGATAATGGGTTATTACTGTATCAGATTCACAATCCTGATATGGTCATAAAATATTCGCAAGGGAAAGCTTTACAAAATGCTTTCTTTTTCTCATTTTGGTGCAAGAAATATATGTGAGGCAATGAAAAAGGGTTTTGTAGAAGACATTCTTGAAGCTCTAAAAAGTGTAAGGTTTAGGCACTAAGATTTGTGACATTTCTATGCTTGAAAAGGGTGCCCGGGCTAAATATCGTTTCTTTTCTTTTTCTTTCTTTTTTGGAAAAAATGAAGAACGAAAAAAAGATAGTCAATTTGTAGCATTACTTGTGTAATCCAAAATTCCAATAAAGCACTATTCTTTACAGGTAACAGAAGCTCTTGCACGTGCCGGACTGGAGTCTTCCAATCTAATTGTTGGTATTGACTTCACAAAGAGCAATGAATGGACTGGTAAAAGCATTTTTGTTTAATCAAGTTGCTAATTATGTACTCGGGATGTTATTTACAGTGCTTTCTGAATGCTTACTTATTTTAAGGTAAGAGGGCGTTTGGTGGGCGAAGCTTGCATGACACCGGGCATGGTCTTAATCCCTATGAGCAAGCAATTTCCATCATTGGGAAAACTTTGGCTGCCTTTGATGAAGATAACTTAATCCCATGTTTTGGGTTTGGAGATGGTATTTACTGAGCACACTCATTTTTGTTGTTGCCACATACATAGTTTTCATGTTTTGTTAGGATATTTACTCTTTCCATCGAATATGCAGCATCAACTCACGACCAAGACGTGTTCAGTTTTTATCCGGATGACAGATTTTGCAACGGTTTTGAGGAAGTCTTATCTCGGTACAGGGAAATTATCCCCCAACTAAGACTTGCAGGTCAGATAACATTTTCTTACTATTCTGGCTTTTTATAGTTAAACAATCTGTTTCGCCACATTTTTTTTAAAGCCCATGGCTTTCAGGACCAACATCTTTTGCACCGGTCATCGAAATGGCTATGACTATTGTTGAGCAGAGTGGGGGACAGTACCATGTATTAGTGATCATTGCTGATGGGCAGGTATTTTAGTGCTTAGGACCCCCTACGATTTCTTCTTGTATCTCCCATATCCCAGATTTAAATTGATTTCTCATTGTGGACAGGTTACTCGTAGCGTTGATACTGGGCGTGGTCAGTTGAGTCCTCAAGAACAAAAAACAGTTGATGCAATTGTAGAAGCAAGGTATTAGCTTTTTAACTTAATCTCCATTACATCCCTATTTATTTTATTTTTTATTTAAGTTTATCTTTAAGTAGCTTGGGATTTCATTCTTATTAAAATGCCAGTGTCTTGTATCTGCAGCAAGTTTCCACTGTCTATTATTTTGGTCGGGGTTGGAGATGGGCCGTGGGACATGATGAAGGAATTTGACGATAATATCCCCTTGAGGGAATTTGATAATTTTCAGGTTAGTAATGGTTGACTTATTGGCAGTGTATCTAGTTCCTTCAACTTTTTTTGGAATGTGCTTGGCTGATCATCAATCATATATGACCATCGAAAATCCAGTTTGTCAATTTTACCGAGATCATGGCAAAACCTGTCTCTCAATCTCGGAAAGAAACAGAATTTGCTCTCTCTTCATTGATGGAAATTCCTTCACAATATAAAGCTACGATAGAGCTTGGTCTGTTAGGGTATGTATGGCCCCACCCCACCCTGGTTCTATCTTTTTCATCCCCACTTTGCACCTTAAATACATATTAACATACTCTAAACCAGAAATGATTTGCTTGTGGTTTCATCATCAGGGGTAATAAAGGTAAATCCCCCAATAGGGTTCCCCTCCCCCCTCCAATGTATGGTGCAGCTTCATCTGGCGGTTCAAAGCCTGCAAGAGCAACAAGTTTCCAGCACACTTCAAGTTCGTACTATGACTACAAGGAACCGGCCGGCACACCATCTGCCTTTGAGCAGAGAACAACAAGCTCTTACTATGATCCTGTAGGTGGTGGGCATTTTGACCACGGTCCTTCTGCACCTGTCACGAGTTATGATAATTTGGTTAGTAACAACCACATTTCTTGTGTTGTTATTTACATATACTCCAACCCCTGCTTCTTATAGGACTCACAAGTATAACTATATGATTTCATCCTTTGCTATATAGGTTTGTCCAATTTGCCTCACTAATCGGAAGGACATGGCCTTTGGTTGTGGACATCAGGTTAGAATTGCACGTCTTCTTCTGTCTTTAAATCAAGGGAAATTTGAATATATACACCCCTATGTTTGTCCTAATACATGATTTTGAAACACATGTTTTATTTTCTCACTTTTCACCCCAATTGGGATGTAAGCTGAAATGTTATGCTCGCTCTGTCCCGCTAAGATTGTCCCATATTTCCTTTTTGATCCGTTCTACTAAGATTGTCTTATACCAAATTTGGCAAAGTTTATGTGGTTCTAAATCATTCTTACTTTATTAATAACCGCATAGCCTCCTCATGTCTCAATGTTAGTGGGGCGAATGTAGTACTAAATATGGGGCAAAGTGTAATGAATTTGTATGTTAGAAATCCGTAAAAACCCCTATTATCAGAAAAAAATCATGAAAGTTTTATGTCAAATAATGTGATAAACATGAAAACACCAAATTTCCTTTAAGTTAACTAGAGAGGAGTGAGTTGCTCTAATGAATATATATGGTGTTTATCCTCTTGATGCAGACGTGTTGTGAATGTGGGAAAGAGCTGGAAACATGCCCGATTTGTCGCAGCTCAATCCAAACTAGGATAAAGCTGTATTGAGTGTGATGTAAATCCAACCCTTCATTCGTTCCTTCTTGTAAAAAAGTATCCCAAGCATTTGCAGTCTTGGTTTATGCGTATTCTGTACATTTATTGATTGACCTTTATTAGCTTAATGATTTGTTTTCTCAATGATTGAGAGAGGAGGGTTGTTGTTTTCATGAGTTGTCTATGGAATTTGACACGCCCATTAGGGGCAGTCTCTCTCTTCCTATGAGTGAGTACAGAATGTATTAATCCGACACTTCGTCAACAACAAATTCAGAGAAGAATGCGCGCAAATTCAAGAAAACGATTTACAATATGATGAATGACTCAGTCAAGCAAGCTCTGTGACGGCGTGACCCGATATAGAGCCACTTTTGTAAGCAGGGCACATTGGTGATCAACAAATGACTGAAATGAGTATGCACTATGCAGTGAACTATGTTACAGACACTCAGTACACATTTCTGAAACGTAAAGAAGGAAAGAGAACGAGAAAGTAAAGGCTCCTACTACGAAAATTATTGCCTCTTAACTAGGGGTGGACCGGTTCGGGCCGGTTCGGGCCTCGGGCCTGGGCCTGGCCGGGCCTCGGTTCAGAATATTGAGGCCCGAGCCCGAACCGGGGGTGGCCGGTTCCGGGCCGGTTCCGGGCCAGACCGGGCCGGTTCCGGGCTGGGCCACCCGCCCTATTTTTTGTTTTTGTTTTTTGGCTTCTTTATTTAATCCCCTGCCCCTCTTTCTCAACCCCAAACCACCCCAAACCACCTCAAATGGACCAAAATACCTAATCTAACCCAAAACATAAAAAATTTTCAAAAAAAAATAAAATAAAAATTATTTCCGGCCCGGACCGGGCCCGAACCGGCCGGGCCGGTTCACCATATGGAAGGCCCGGGCCCGGAACCGGGAACCACCGGGCCGGTTCGACCCGAACCGCCGGTGGACCGGGCCACCGGGCCGGGCCGGTTGCTACAGTGGCCGGGCCGGGCCGGTTCCGGGTCGGGCCGCCCGGCCCGAGTCCAGGCCTACTCTTAACTGTTAACACCAGTCCTACTAGATTTTTTTCTACGGAGCATCAGCCAGTAGATTATTTTAATTAATCGTTTGCCAATTGATTTACAATGAAATCAAACGGAGGTTAGCAATAACTGTTCGATCAGACATAGAAAAAGCCTCTTTTGCCAAAGCATGAACGGCTTGATTCGTTGATGTATATGTGCTACACCATTGAAGAATTATGTCAGGTTTTCTATTCTATCCATTTTCAGTCTCAGCAAGCTATGGGATATAACAAGGAAAAAGAGCTTGATATCTTCAAATGCAATCCCTACTTGGGATACATACATCCCTCCACCGATCCCAGATATGATAATGGTTGCATCTGCTTCGATGATCACGTTATGCAAAATTGCAAATTGTTCTCTTTAGCTCACAAATGACAAAATTAATAGAATAATTAATACTCCCATGCTTTTCCGTTTCAATGCGCTGAGTCCCGCATTACAACAATGTGGGGTTTCTGTCAATGCACTCTGGAACAACATGCAAAACGATTGATATAGTACTTGGAACTTGGGCCGATTTCCAACTTCATAAAGTCGAAGTTGCAATCCTTCTACCCCTTGCTTATGTGAAGTTTTCTCCCTCAACATTATACTATTCCCCATCTTCCATATGCTCTAGAGTAGCATAACAAATTGACACATATCCTCTTCCGCTAGCATGCTCAAAACCTTCTTGAAGCAGTCTGCCCGCAAGCCTCCTCCGATCATACTATAAAAACCTGCCGCCTCCCAAATTCTACCCATACTAGACCACTGAAAAAATAAATGATCATCAGTTTCCTCTTCCACCCTGCATAAATGACAATCTTCAATTACCGGACTTGTTCTTTCTTCACTAAATCTGCCCCCTGTGAGTCATCGTTTCACCTAAAATCTTCTTAACCCTGCCTCAAGCTTGAAAGGATGCTCATAATATAATAGAAAGAGTTCCCTCCTTTTAAAAAGGAATTGACATGACCTGAATTCCAAGCCTTCTCGTGAATCTCGTCTTCCTTTGAAAGCATTGGCACATTCATATCTGACATTCCATTTGGTCGTCTTGAGCTTACTATTACCGACTGCTTTCAGATAACCATGCAGCCTTCCGAACAGAAATATAGGTACCCTTTTCAGCCCTTCTTCTAGTCCCAACTACCAGTCTATCACCAGTTCTTGACTAGTTAAAAATACTCCGCCATATATAGGATGCATGAGTTATTTCCCATTAAAGCTTCTAAGAAAGAACTTTGGGGATAGTACTTCGCTTTCAGAACTCTTCCAATAAATGAATGTCGTTCAGTCAAGAGGTTCCATGCTAACTTACCCAATATGGCGATAATTAAAAAAATGACGGAAAGAAGGGAAAAAATAAAAATGAAGAAACTCAAAACAAATTCGTGAGAAGAAAAGAAAACAAGATCATGAAAACAAAGGAGAATGAGGAGGAAGGACGTAGGTAGGGAGGCTTGCTAGATTCCACTATAAAATTGAACACAAACTTATGAAGAGAGTAAATATTTACCATGAAGACAGTATATGGGTACCACTGTATAGGTCACCCAGGGGCGGCTCCAACATTTTGGAGGCGCTAGGCAATTTTTTTATTTTTACTATGCACATATCATAATAAAAATGAAATAAATTGTACACAAACATCATATGAAAAGGCATATTCAACGTGCACCATATAATGTGAATGTCAAAACAATAAGTTTATAAATGACAACATACGTAAAAAAAAATGACAACATATGTAAAAACACTGCAAGCTTATATTTTGAAACACTCTATTGGGCTATTCATCTTGGCTTTTGAAGTGCGAAATTGATAAGAACATCATTGTAAAAAGATCAAACTTATCAAGACAATTATTTGTGACAATAACAAATCAAACAATCCATGCCATCAAACTACTCTCACTATTCAATTAGCACAAGCTAATAGTGTTTCATGTAATTATCATCCAATTCATACAATACACCAACACCTATATGGCAATATATCCAATATAATTAATTTTTATATTAATCCAAATCATTAATAATCATAAGTTAAGCATTTTTAACTTTACACGTTACACCTTCACTTCAATCATATTTAGCCATTTAGGAATTTACCTCAAATAGTCAAATACTCCATATTAAAAAGTCAAAATGCCTAACCAGATTTTTGTATTCCTTCCGCAGAATCACAAGCTCACCCAGGCTGCTTTATGAGTTTATTCCTTGTATGCTTTAACCCTTAAGTCTATTTAAAAGTTAGTAATTTAACTATTGTATTGACTAAAATCTAAAGATAAATTCAATTGAATCAGACGGTTTAGAAAAAGAGTGGGTAATACGGAGAGATAAAGAGGAGGAGAGAGTCTAAGAACTAGAATCACTCACCCCCCACTCCCCAGGTCAGCAGCGGGCGGAAAATCGTTCAATTAAGGAATGAACGAAGGTGAGAAGGATGACAGACTGTCTGCGTTTGGTCGGTTTGGATGAGGATTGAGGAGTTGCCAGTTCGAATTTGGGAATTGTAGAATACGTACATACAGAGGCGTTGATCAATTATATTTTCCTATTCCAATTTTTAGATGATACATACAGAGTACGGAGTATTACATAACACTAAATTTTTTTTTGAGGCCCCTTACGCAGGTGAGGCCCTAGGCAACCGCCTGGCCCAACTGCCCCCAAAGCCGGCACTGAGGTCACCAAGGCGGTGAAGTTCACGATCTTTAGGGAAATTTGACTTCCATTTAAAGGCCTAGAAGAGGAATCGCCATTAAGGAGATCGGTGACAAGAGGCATGTCTTCTCGTTTTACCATGAAATGGATATGAAATGTGCTATTGATTATGGCTCGGGGTTATTTGATCAAAATCTGAGTTTTGCACGGATTAAAACGCGATGATCTACCTTTGAAAGTTCCGTTAAAACTTTTGGAGTTCTGGATTGAAGTTCATAACCTATCAGTTCCGTTAAATTGAAAAGTGTAACAAACAATTACAACAGTAGAATAAATACTCAAACGATAGTATTGTATAGTACGCAATAGAGAAACCAAACGATCTATAAGAATGATATTGAATGTTTACAAAGCAGATAAATCATTTTTCTCATAGTGTCGACAGAGCTCTCTCTGTTGCATGTGTTTTTTTGTAGTATTGGTCAGGATGGTAGTAATAAAGTCGGTCGGTTTTTGTGGTTGTTTGTTGGATATATGTGGTGTTTTCGTAGGACAGTTTTCTTCAATTAGTCATTATAGGCAGCTTGTCCGATTAACCATTAGCGAATTACTACGCATTTTATATTGCGATCGAGTGACTGATCTGGGGGTGCTTGCCCAAATATTGGTTTGTGTAATTTTGATATATCAATATTAGCCTTTTTCATTCAAAAAAGATGGGTACCTATTATATAACAAGTGACTCAAATTAATGATGCATCCCACGAGGCTACGATATACACCCATCAAAATGTGATGGTACTACTAATTACATACTCCATATGTAATGATCCAACTCATTACTTCATTGTTCATTTAAATTATACGGAGTAGTTATTTAATTGTAATATTTTGATGATCTATATGGACAAGGTACTATATTGTACAATGGTGCATGGATCCAGGATAAAATTTTTATTGGAGGTAAAGAATGATGAAATAAGGAGTCCTTTTGACAACATGGGTGAATCTACTACATTCAGCTAAAAATTGATTATAGCTGCTGAATTGAATCAATATGTTGAATTATGAACGTCAAATAGGTAATTTCAATCTTAGATTATTTCATTATTCACTGCGGTGAAGATTTTTGCGTTATTTATATCTGGTACATGATTTTCCAACAAATGCGGTGAAGTTAAAGTGAGCAACAATTTATAGCTGAATGAGGGAGTATATTTAAGGCTTCGTGAATCACTATACACATATATAAATACGTGGTGGCAGCTGGCGGGCTGTAGCATATATTGGCCGGCTCGTCTTACGTTGCATTTAGGTTGGTTTGCAACTGTTTTTAAAAAAACACGGCTTAGTTTTTGACTTTAAAAAACACTTATTTTTTCAAACACTACAATTTTTATTTTTCTCGGCTTTCACGTCAAAAGTGCTTTTACTTTTTCTATTACACAAAAAACACTTATTTTACCAAACACTAACCACTTTTACTTTTCTCTCCATTTCATTAAAAAAATACTTTTTTAAAAGCAGAAGTTGCAAACAGACCTTTAATGAATTATGGCCAACAAACACCACACCATACTTTGATGATCTCAGACAGACAACCCACGTACCCAGGTTGTTACACTACTGTTTCCGCTCAGCTACCTTTCTATTTCCGGCCTAAATAATCCATTTCATTCATTCTCATCACAATTTCGATCTATTGAAAATCTGATAAGGGCGGATCAGATGATGGAGATTATGCCTTCGCTTTCCACACACTCCTATAGCAGACTCAGGCCGAAAGCAGCAGCTGGGTGCAGCTCGACGTTCGGGTACGAGGCGGCGGCGGCGGGGAGGCAGCTGAGAAGCTTCTCCGGGAGGAAGGCGAGGGTGGTGATTAGGAAGCGATTGAGGATTGTGAAGATTCGGAAGCTGGCGGCGGTGGTGAGGAGGAAGGCGAGGCTGGCGGTGGCGGCGTGCGCCAAGAGGCTGAAGGAGAGTAAGTGCCATTTTGGGGATATTTTTGCAGGCAATTATATGTTCCTCCAAGTCACCCCCTCTCCCTTCAAATCCCCTCCTCTGGCTTCCGTTCCTAAATCGCTCTTGTAATCTGATTATTTCCCTATCTTTATGATTTGTGTACAATTATATGGACGTGTTTGTCATTTAGCGGTAAGAGGATTATGTTAGCGGATTGTTAATATCGGATTTAATCAGCGGGTTTAATCAACAGAATAAAATTGGCGGGTTTTGAGAATTTCACTGTTTGGCCATAAGATTAATACAAAATGCCATTTTCCAAAACCCTGACCCAAAACTCTCCTATTTGCGCCGTTTTCATTTCAGCGGTTCCGTCACAAAACACTAGTGCAGAACCGTTATTTACCAAACAATGTTTTGACTCATCGAAAACGTCAAAAATAGTCAAACCTTCATTTTTTTGGCTGAAACTCCATCTACCAAACCCCCCATATTCTAAGGGCAGATCAAATGATTGAGAATTCATATAAAAATATCAATCTTACTGTACGATATTAATGTATTCTGATCTACATTTTGGAGATCCCTATCGATGCCTCTCATTATTGTACGATATTCTAAATGATTTTTTGAAAACAATTGCGCAGTAAAACAGCACAGTATATTTCAGAAAATCATTTGACTGCCTTCTCGGTTGACTTTTTAGCTGAAATTTGGTATGAGTAAACTAGATTTAATTAAGAAGATGCTCAAAATATTTCATCAAAAAATTCCACTGGGAACTGCCCAAATGATGACGGTCGAACAAAGCCTCCTATTTAAGGGGTGATTTGCACTTTTTTGGTTAGTTCGAGAGCCGATTTGCTAGTTTTTCCTATTATTTATTAAAATATTACATACTTTGACATTGTAGTACAATAGTCAATAGATATTAATTCCCTTATTGATAAATTTGCTAAAGTAAAAGACCGCAAAGTGCGATTGACTTTTTAGACTCTGTTTACATTTCTTTGCTCGAATATTTTTCCCGTTCTTTGATGATTTGGATTCTAAACGGGCTCCTCGACCTACCCTCGGTCACCTTTATTTAATAACCGGGGTGAATCCAAAAGCCCCTAAAACTGGTGCGAGCCAAGCTCCAATCCATCAAACATCTTTATTTGATGATTCAGATTTCATATGGATCCTCTCCGCCCCTGGTCATTTTTATTTGATGACCGGGGCACAACGTATCTAGATCGAGTGTCGCTATCGACTGCACCCGTCACTAAGTCCAAAAGTGGCAAACAATACACCTCAATCAAATAATTGCTTCATATACTGTACATATCTAAATGATTGATAGAGGAACAATATTTAGTGTGAAATCGACCCCGTACTGAAAGACCGGGAAAGCAAGGCCAATGAGTACTTTATCTTGAACCGGAGACCCGCAAAATGCCTGAAGGTCCAAAAAGAGACGCTTGTCGTGCAAAAATATCTGAAACGAAATACTCCAAACACTTAAGGGTGATTCAGGCGTTAAAAATACATTCGATTACATTATAATAATTTTTTTTAATTGAAATATCTTCAAGGCCACTCAGCCCGCCGCTCCGCCGGCCTTTGCGGCCCCAGAGGCTGGGGACCCCTTAAGTGCATCGCGACGCCACGAGGCGAGGCGCAAAAAATTACACCTCGTCCGACAAATACATTCGATTACATTATAATAATTTTTTTAATTGAAATATCTAATTATATATTCTAAATCTAAATATATCAATTAATTTATAATTATTTTTTAGGTGCATAAAACAAAGGGAAAACAAAATACTTGTTGCTTTTAAATGTGAAAAATCTTTGGTGACGGTAAAAAAATGATCAAATAATGTTAAATTTGATACATTTGAAACTTGGTGTCCAATAAGAAATACAAATGTAGCCATAATGTCCAATTTGGTTCATTTGAAACCTTAGTATCTAATATGAGATTCATATATAATCATATTGTCCAATATGACCCTTATCCCCCCCAAAAAAAGTGATGGACTTTGCACCCCATTTGTAAAAAACTTTATATTTTCTCCCGACTCGTATGAGAAGAGAAAAATGTTCCTTGACCAGGAATACGTTGACAACCAACAAAATTGTTAATGGATGAGCATTTTTATCTTTTCATACGAGGTTGAGATGCAAATACAAAGTTTTTAAAATCCGAATGCAAAGTCTAATTTGACCAATATAATGGGGTGCAAACTCAAATTAACCCTAAAAAAACTCCGACCCAAATCCTATTATAGTTTTTTGACAGAGTCCTACTCTCTGTATTTAAAAAATTAATACACTTAAAGGGAAATACTAGGCGTAATGAATAATATAGAAAAATTAAGTGAGAAGGTGAATAGGTGGAAAAAAGAAGATAAAAAATTAGTAAAAAAGGATAACTAAATATATTTAAATGAAAGATTTACGAAAATGTAATAAACTTTTAAATATTGAATAATGATGTTTTTACTTTGATTGTAATTTGTCCCAGACCAGACCAGGTCGGACTAGATTTGGATTGTTATAAAAATACAAAAAGCCCAGACATTACCGGACCCGACCAATTCAGACAAGACCAGATCATCAAATTAGGATGTTTTCTTTTGAACTGTTTTCAGTCCCAGACCAGACCAGACAAGACTTAAACAAACCAGACCAGACCACACTTCCGTAGTTATAAAATACAAAGAGACCAGACATTTACTAAACCAAAGTAAAAACAGGGGACATACGGCCATCCTTAACTCCGTCGAAACGTTGTCTACAATCTTAATTCTCGAATCAGGACTCAGGTCAGCCACTCAGCCCACCGCTCCGCCGGCACGAAACACCGGCGATTCAGCGACAGTTGAGGCTGCGCGCCATTCCGGTACGCCACCCTCTTGGCCTCTTAAATAATTTAATAATTTGTATTATTGTATATGATTCGTGAATTTTGTTATTGAGTATTGACTATTGTGTTGCTAAATACTCCGTAATAAATTGAATATGTCAGTGTAAGTGTGTAAGACTGTAAGTTTATAATGTGTTTAAGAACTTTTGTTTTATGCGATCAGTTTTTACTGTTTAGGTTGTAGTTGTAGGACTTATGATTTCTGCCTCCAAATTAGAAATTAAATTATTTAAATCGTTTCTTTACTTTGGTTTTAGATTTACTTGTTATTATTATTTATTAAAATTTTACTTATTTTGACATTATAGTACAATAGTACAATTGACTTTTTAGACTCTGTTTACATTTCTTTTCTCGAATATTTTTCTTGTTCCTTTTTAAAAAAATATGCACTTGGATGCTCTGGGGCTACGACACTTTAGTTGAGAGGGGTAAATTGAGAATAGACAGAATTAAGTAACTTTACTGGCTACAAGCAGAATATAAAATATGGATAACTTATTGAATGGACTAATAGTTTATGGCTTAGTAATTTAGTATGGCTTTTCCATCATTTACAATGGAGCCAAAGTCTCACTATTTTTTGGCTTGAGAATATGATAGAATAAAGCAAAATGAGTCACTAAATTGTCTGCGCTTCTTTGTTATGTAGTAGCAGTCAATCCATGCAATTTCGGAAGCGATTTTCACTATGGGTCATCCAGAAACAGTCTCTTTGTACTTTAGTACATGGGTAAGACTGCATACATCCGACCCCCTTACCCCACCGTAGGTGGGAGCCTTTGCGGCACTGGGGTACTGATAATGATGAGTAATGTAAAATGTTTAAGTCTGATTTGGTTTGACAAATATATGTTGTATATCTTCTTTTTTAACAATTGTTTAAGTCTAGTCCGGTTCGGTTTCTTTGGTTTGGTATGTGACTGAAATCAGTTCAATTAAAAATATCATTATTTATCAATTTCGAGTACTCTTACGACTGACTGAAAATCTAATGAGCACACGGATTATAAGATAATTTTATTTGAAAACGGAACCCCACATTTTAATACATAGTCTGCCTGATACGGTGTGGTGTTATTCAAAGAGGGACGGGATCTTATTGTAGTAGTTAGAAATTGATCTTGGGTTCATCTTGGTTTCTATGCCTCACTTTGTCCCCATTATTTTGGTTTCTGTTCTTTATCAGTTGCAAACTATGGGTATGTGCTGACATGAGGATGTTATTAATCTATATAAAACCCCATTTTTATATGAAAATTTAATGGTTGAGTTTTTTTACTTTAATAGTATGACTAGTAATTTAATAGTATGACTAGTTTTGTGATCTTGTCTTGTTACTAGTTAGTAACTTAGTAATGAGATCAAAGTATATTTTTCTCAGTAATATTGACATATTGTTAGTTGTAAAGAAGTATGATTTGTTCTTGAGGTGATTAACATTTGTTTCTGTTAATATCGTTTTTAATTGGTAAGGACTAGCATGATGATGAGCAAACGGAGGAATAAAGATGTTGATGATGATGCTTGGGCTGAGCTTCATATCGACTTATTACGTGCAGTGGGTAAGCATGTTGATCATTATGATGACTATATTAGGATGCGAGCAGTTTGTAAAGAATGGGAACTTAAACTCCCAAAGTATCCAAAGCATTTAAAAAATCTATGGGTGGGGTTTGTCTATGAGGGAAATCCTTTCTATAGTGTTGGGGAGGAGAAACTGTATCCCTCCAAAATGGTGGAGGGTGTGCGCAATAAGGTGGTCAGAGGGTCTTATGGGGATTGGTTGGTCACCATTGGAATTAGTGATGGAGAAATTGAAATGCTCAATCCATTCACAAGAGCTCAGGTCAGCGGACTACTTCCACCGGTGTCAACAGTTCCAGAGATAATTCTCTACGACCCAGAAAATCATAACAAGGAATACACCGTCAAGGAACGCATTCATGAAATTGGTGATGGGTATCACACTGCTGTTTGGCCCCAGGCTTGGATGCATAAATCATATTTCACTAAGATTGTTTTGTCATCTGCTCCTCAGCAGGATGAAGTTTTGATGGCGGGGGCTATGATTCTTTATGGTACTTTTGGCAGGTTGGCTTATTGTCAAATTGGTGGAAGTGATAAATGGGTCGATATTGGATCCAATAATTCTGCAAAACCTATATACAGGGATGCCATATTTCATGGACCAGGGAATAAGAAGATGATGATCTATGCCGTGAACACTTTTGTGGAGATATGTGTAATTGACCCTGAATCAGGTAATGTGGTGAGTAAGGCAACACCACCTATTGGAGTCAGGGACTACTATCACCCTTTATTGAACTACATGTATGTGGTTCATACCCCGCAGCATAGTG